GTTAAAGAATTGTTGATGAATTTTTTATGAATTGTTGATGAATTGTTCATGAATTGTTGATGAATTGTTGATGAATTTTTTATGAATTGTTGATGAACTGCTGATCAATTGTTGATGAATAATCGATGAGTTTTATATGAATATGTTGATGATTCATTGATTAATTGTTGTTAATGACTGCCTAACACATGCCCATGTTAAATTCATCAACAGTTTGTATGGCCATTCATCGATGAATGATCAACAACACCGCCTTGACTTTTTATGAATCGTTGATTATTTACTGATGACTGCTACTGCAGGGTATAACATTCATCATACTCATACAGATGAACATTACACATAGGCAAAGAATTTGGCCTGTCATTAACATTGACATGTGGAACTGCAGCGCCATAACGGTCTCTAAAAAGATTCCTGTGGAACACCACGAGTGGTAGTCATAAAACATAATCCCCAACAGCAACACCTGCAGCTTGCAGATTCTTCAGTGATTCAGGATTTACAATGTCAAATGCCTTGCTAAAATCTAATAGGATTAGTTAATGAAGTTGATTAGTGAAAGGTCAAGTTGTTAATTGAACTCAACTATATTAAAGCAAATAAGAGAACTGAACTGGTTACGTAGTAATATAGTTATGCATGACTATAAGAGAAAGAAACGATTTACAAAATAATAAAGAATCTAATTTAAAGATGTTTCAGATGCTACACTAATTTTTATATACTTTTTATACATTTTATATATATACGATAAGGAAGATAGGTAACTGATAATATAATATCTCACGTCATTAACAGGACATAGATTATTTGGTACCAAGGACATAAGGACAAGGATCTGTTTAAAAACGTTTTATAAATTTTCCTTAGTGTCACATCTGGCATCCCATAAGGAACCACCCTGGCCAACTGCTATTTTCATACTTTATCAATAACCTTCCACGTTTTCTCTTTGCCCTTCGTGGCTTTACCTGGAATTTTGAACTAAGATCACATCCGCCTCTTTGATCAATTTCTCGACACGCCGAACCTAGAACACCCTTAGAAACTTCAATTTGCTCATAAATAATTAGTACAATGTAAATTATGTATATTTATGTTAAAAAAAACATCAAAGTAATGCCTACATTCAATATATTGCCCTATACATATTATGTTTACACTTTTAAAGTTACATTTTGTTATTCACAGCTTTGTGCTTTCCTTAACATTAAACAATTGTTTCAATCTCGTTCTTTTATCTAGAACTAGAACTTTCTACGTCACACGGTTGCGATCCTCGGTGGATTAGGCGATCGAAGGGCCACGCCCAAAAAAATGTATATATTAACTTTATAGGGTCACTTCGTTGCATACTTCTGACAAAAATTGTAATACCTTCCGTAGTCTACTTCGTGTATATGCATCGTTTTACAACTCTTATGTTTATTTTACCTGTTGTTTCGACCAGACCGATAGGCCGTCATTCATACAGACTGATGTATGTATATGTATACTATGTCTCATTTTACTCCCTCTGCATATAGTACAATTTTCCAAACTCTTTACTCACATAAAACTTCTTTTAATTTTGTCTAATATATGTTCATAAAAATAAGAAGAATCTTTAATTGTATTGTATTGTAGTAAATTTAACTCCTGCGTGGGTTCACAGCTAAAGTTTGAAAATGGATGAATATTTGAAGACCTAAAAATATGTATTTCTGGAACACGAATTTTATATTTTCTTCTATACAAAAATAAGTCGGGTTTTCCTTCCTGACGCTGTAACTCCAGGACGCAAGACGCAAAACCGATTTTCACTGTTACGAATTCGTTGGAAATGTTTTGGGCGTGAGGTTTATAGCAAGGAAAATTCAGGACAATTTTCAACTGACAGCATGTACGCAGTGCAAAGAAGAAGTTAATTTACTGAGACTAATGCGGCATAAACGAGCTGAGGGACCACCATCGACAACATTCAATAGCTTCTTTACAACGTGTGAAGCAGATCCATTCACAGCGACTCTGATGTATGTGCGTTGAAATGTCCAAGTATTACACTTGGAATCAATCAAACAAGGAACCCCAGTTCCAGATTGACCACAGGTGTTTTCCACTGATGCACTTGGTCGCATATATACTGTTGTTTCTAGAAATGGGGAGTGCTTTTATTTACGACTGCTGTTGTGTACGTGGACCAAAATCATTTGCGCATTTGAAAACTGTGAATGGCCACCAATGCCAAACACATTGAAAAGTATGTCAACTATTTGGTGGTATGCTGGAGAACAATTTTCATTGGGATTTAATACTTGGGGATTCACTTGTTTCATTAAATGCTTTACAAAGACGAAGGCTGTTCGCATTTATCATCACCACATGTTTTCCTTCACAACCAATTCAGTTATGGAACAAATACAAAGACGACATATGTGAAGATATCTTGCGTCGCTTCCGCATTCAAACGTATAATCCTGACATCCAAATTACGGATCAAATCTGCAATGAAGGATTGATTCTGATTGATGATCAATGCTTGACTATTGCAAGCGAGCTACTGATTGAAGTTGGAATGATTGCGCCAAGTCGATCGATGCACGGTGTAGTCAACCAAGAATTAAATCGAGAGCCAGTCTCGATTCAGTGCAATGGGATGTTTGGGATGAGTGCACAATGGTACATAAGAAATCACTTGAAGCACTTAACTTCACACTGAATGATCTTCGGCCAAATAACAACATTATTGGCGGCTTGATGATATTGTTGGCAGGCGATTTCAGGCAGACGTTACCTGCAGATGAATTGAATGCTTACCTAAAAGGCATCACCTATATGAAGTAACGTAAAAACATTAAAGCGAACCACTAATATGAGAGTTCGACTTAAAAATGATCAAAGTCCAGCATAATTTTCCAAACAATTGTTAGCTTTTGGAAATGGAAAAGTCCCAGTTGATGCAAAATCTGGATTAATAACTTTCACAAACGAATTTTGTCAATTGGTAGACTATCAATTAGCTCTTATTGAAAATGTTTTCCCAAACATAAGTGAGAATTATAAGAATTATGTTTGGTTAAGTCAACGAGCAGTTCTTTCCGCAAAGAATAAATATGTATTCGCATTGAATTTCACCAATCAATCGAAAATTGATAGCGATTTGGTGAAACAGTACTCGACTTTTGGTAAAAATACTTATGCCGAATTCGATTGAGGAAACCATTATTAACGGAAAGTACACAGGTAGAAATATATGTATTCCTATAATACCTATGATTCCGATTGATCTTCCGTTTGACTTCAAACGATTGCAATTTCCAGTTCGCCTTGCGTTCGCAACGACAATTAACAAGTCGAAAAGCCAATCGCTTGGTGTTTGTCGGATAAATTTAGAAAATCGTTATTTTTCACATGAACAGTTGCGTTGTTGCGTGTTTACGAGTTGGGAAACCAACTGCTATATTTGTGTTAACGTCAGACCACAAAACAAAAACAGTGGTTTACAAAGAGCACTTCAATTCAGTATTTACTTTGGATTCACTTTCATTTACTTAGAGTCGTTCAACTGAATAACACTTCATTTTTAGTACGCTTTTATTAGATCGGGATGTATGTATGTCTGTAACGTAATCTTTGAACACTATTTTCAAGGGTTTCCAAATATCTGTTAAGCTTGAAACTTTGCATACTTCTCAAGGACAAGGCAATAATTTGATACAAATTTTTCATTATCCTGATTAGGATCATCAGGATTGATAAATTATTTTTTTTATAGATCCTCCGTAAAGGAGTAAGAGAGACAGAGCTAGCGCGCGATCTGCGCATGCCTGTTTGCTGCTGGACAAGCTAATGTAGCACTTAGTCGTGTAAAAACCTTAGACGGTATTCGCGTTGAAGAACTTGATTGCTCAAAGTTAACAGGAAAGCCCACGTGCAACTAAGAGTCCTTAAATGAAATAATGAGATTACGTAAAAATTTCGTAAGATATTTCATAATTACATGTCCGCAAAAATTGATTATTGATGAATCGAACTAATATACGAAAAATAACTGATAACTTAGAAAATTAAAAAACACGCTTTTATAGGTACCCACAAAAAAAAAAATATTAGTTTAAAAAAACTAAAAAAAACACGGTTTTATAAATAACCGAGCTAAAAAGAAGAAAATAATTTACAATTATAAACAAAATTATTAAATTCAGAGCAATAGTATATAAATATAAACAAGATCACTAAATTCAGAGTTAAAAGCGTGGGGGGGTGCATCCAGAGATAAGGTAGTATCTCGCACCAAGTAAATGTTTTTTTTTCTGTAATTAATTATATCAATCATTGTTTTAACACGTATTCAGTTCGACTATTGCTGTGAATTTGTCATTTGACTGATATGCCTAATGCTGTCACTAAGCACAACGTTTAAATACGTGAAAAGTTATTCTACAGCTGCACTGTTTTTGTTAATCTAATAATTTTTTGTACATATAAGAGTTTTTATTTTATATTTAATGTTCACAGAAATACATTTATCATTGTTTGTAACAATAGTTCAACATGTACTTGGCAAAGCATTGCACAGTGAAACTGTTATTTGTAGGATTTTTCTATATTTTCAAAATTCTCCCCTTACAGATAGTTGCCCTTAGAATAATTGTAACATTGATTACAGATGCACCCCACGCTTTTAACTCTGAATGTTATCTTGATCTTGTTTATAATTATATACTGTTGCTCTGAATTAAATTATTTTGTTTATAATCATAAATTATTTTCTTCTTTTAATTCGGTTATTTATAAAAACGCGTTTTTATAGTTTTTTTTTTAACTATTATTTATATTAAACTATTATTTATTATAATCGAAATAAGTTCATTATAGTTGTGAAATAAAATAACATTTTTCCTTTTCAAATATAAAGCAAAAAGATTTTTCTTCATATTTTAGCCAATCCTTTTAATTTTTCATATCTCTATTAATATATTTAATTATTATCTATTTTTCTTACTTTTTTATTGCAGTCTTCGAGTTCGCCTCGACGAGTTGCCGTTCCTGTCCTTGTTAAGGATGGTAAGCCGTGCGCAGGAAGCAATAATACAACTCAATCGCAATCACATGGAACGAGTACGACACCAGCAGGCAACAACAATAGCAGTGGAAGCAATAGTGTTAACACTAACACTGGAGCTTCAATAACTGGCAATCTAACAAATGGTCTCAATCTTATAACTGGAGATGCCCCGAACTCGCACTCACCAGATACATCTTCATCTATACTTACTAGTTATGGGACTGTTGGAGGTTCCAATGTCGCAATGTTGCAGCAACCATGTAATAATACTTTAATGTCAAACAGCTTAGCCATGGCATATAGAAATCAAAATAATTTTATTTCTAATGGTCATCAGCAGCAATGTGGTGGATATTTACCATTACAGGGGCGAGCATGGTAAAAATAAAAGGGATACCCTTTAATCTTTTAATCTTTTAGATTAATATCTAAGCTGTACTCTTTTCGGTTAAACATTTAAAGACTTTTAAAGAAGGCAGTCAATAAAATTAAATGTTATGTTGGATATCAGTTTCATTAAATGAAATAAACATTAAACATACATAGGTACAACATTAGTAAAAATATTACATAAAAGTATGCCTCCTTAATGCTCAATAAAATACAAGATACAATTAAGTGTATATAAATAGAACAATGTATTAATAAATTATAATAATTGATTGAAATTTTAAAAACTATGGGTGGTTTTTTTATACATATTTGTATTAGTGAAAGTTGTGTCACTCTTATTTATATTAGCTTTGTTTCGTTGATTCGAACTCATTTGGTGACCAAACATCAAACAAGTACTTTCTTTCTTGTGGCTTAAACAGTTTATAGATAACTTAATTATCAATTTAAAAAAAATATATATATATTTCTTTTTATATGTTTCTTTAAGAATACAATCATTTATATACACTTGAACAGATTTATAAATTTTGTCAGAAGTTTTCAACATAGTGAAGAAGTAATTTTTGACAATCCTTCCGCCTATCTACGTAAACTATAAACAAGTATAAACATATAAACTAGTCGCCCAGTTTTAAAGATATCTGGACAATAATATTCGGTTAATCTCTTTATATTCTCTCGAAGGCAACCCAGTCGGACCTTTTAGCCAAATTACTGCCGAATTTCATGCGAACCCGTTCTGTGGGTAGGACCCACCGTTTATGTAAAGTTCTCAGTCGCTTTTATTAATGCGTGGCAGGGGTAATTCATGATGCCGACGTCGCTTCTCGGCTCATGACCAAATTCATCATGAGCGGTATAGAAAAAAAATCAAGAAAAATTTAAATAAAAAAAAACATATATGAAACATCTTAATGTTTAAAAGTCCTTACACACCGCGCCATGCAGACACCTAAAATTGCGTCGGCGATATACATACATGTGCGTATTGCGTGTGAGAGGGGCAAAAACTTGCAACCCCTTTAGGAGATTTATTTTTTGCTCGCTTGATATTTGACTTTGCCGTCGAGAGGCGACCGTGGCGCGTGTCTCAGGCTAGCGCAAGTTCAAATCCCACACGAGGCAATTCTCTGAATTTTCTTTAACAAAAATTTAGTTTCTGTTAAAAATTGACCAACAAAATTAAAATAAATCAATAAGTGTGGTTAAATAAGATAACCAAATTATATTACATAAAACAAACACTCAAAAATATAATATTATGTTCACATAGGATTGAATTTTCTATATATTATCCGATTTTCATTTAGAGGAATTCTACGTAGTTTGGAAGAAAAAACGTAAAATAGGTATTTTTTTTTTTTTTTTTTGTCGTCGGACCTCTTATTAAAAAAAATATACCACAAGCACAGCGTTCGATTCAGGTACTGAATACCGCGCTTGCCACTTTGCTGAACTGGGGACCATGCTTAAGACCATCCCTGCTCGACATAGTTTTCTATTACGAATCGCTCACCGCATGAAGCATAGTCCGACTGGCGTCCTCTTAGAGGCATTTTCTAGCGATGCCAGTACTGGAGCCCGCGCTTTGGCCGACCACTACTAGATGAGATGCTCCAAGGCTTCGATTACCTCGGATGTGGGTAATGCCTAGCCGGTGAATTGGCTGCCAGTGACTTATGAGAATTCCCACTACTAGGCTGCAATCTTTTCGTAGTAGATGCAACATGCAGTGGCTGCTTTTTGCTTGTGCGTCTGCCCGTTTCTTCAACTTGTTTTAAAGCTTTCTAAGGGAGACAGGCACGTTCCATATTTTGTCATTTGCCAGGCGAAAATTTACTTTGCAAGGTTATTTGCACCTTTGTTGTCATAGATGCCCTGAGGCTGGAAACTCAGTAGATCCGCATTGACTTGCCACTACGTTTTTTGAACTGACCGGTAAAAATTGATGGATCTTATCTCCGCTTGACTGCTTACGTAGAAATTAACCGTCTAATGTAGACGTCTATGCTCTGCGAAAGATCTACCAGTTTTCTGATGGTGAGTATGCTGCATTGACTTGGTTGCTTATACGACTTAGCCTTATATCAGGGTCTGTACAGTATATGTCCGCTCGTACTGTTTCAGGACACAGCCCTCGACCTCAGCATTAATTCCAAGAGTGCTGAGATCGAGCGCTAGAAAAGATTCGGTATCCGAATGTGCAGCGGGAGTGTCCGTACCGCCGGTGATTTCTGTTTTATCCCCTGGGGGGTCGCAAATATTGACCCCTCAAAGTCCCGTGCACACAAATATATCTGCCCAGGGTGTTAGGCCCGGAATACCGGCCGACAATGGCACGGCAGATAACCAATCTGCCTTGCCAAAAGCCCTTATAGCGGTTCCACCAACGAGACATATTTTTGTCTCGCGGCTCTCCCCTGACCAAACATCGGAAGATGTTCTCGCCTTTATACAAGGCAAAACCAGAGCCGAAAAAATTAAGATAAAGGTGGAAAAGTTCAAATTTTCTTACGCTAGGGACATTTCATCTTTCAAAATAAATGTCCCTAACGAGCTCTTTAACACTATTTGCTCTCCCAACTTCTGGCCAGAGTACATCGTTGTTAAGGAGTTCGAGGCGAAGAAATAGAAAAAGCGGCCTGTAGGAATAACTCTTCCCAGGCCTGATGATACCACTGCGCCTTCTACGTCTTCCAATTCCGATCCAAAAAAACTAACCCACTCCCTAGGTATTTCCTATCAGAATGCAAGAGGCTTACGTGGTAAGCTTCCTAACTTGTATTCTGATAGCCTTTCGTTTGTATCTCAGGTTATTGTGCTCACAGAAACCTGGTGAAAGCCGGAGATTCTGAGCTCCGAAGTTTTTCCAATTGTGTTCACGGTATATCGGCTAGATCGCCCTATCAGACGCGGGGGTGGAGTTCTTATAGCGGTGGACTCCTCACTCACGTCAGAATTATTAACGTTCGAGGAATGCAACGATGTTGAATTCCTCTGTGTGAAGCTATCTATCAAAGGTAGCTCCATTTTTATTACCTGTTCCTACATACCTCCACTGTTGGAACTTCCTATTTATTGGAATCACCTTTCCGCTATTCAGATGGTTTCCAGTAGACTTTTGGATAGAGACCAGTTGGTAGTTCTAGGAGATTTTAATATCCTTGGTGCTATTTGGTGCTCAAATAATTCCACCAATACTCTCTATACACCTACACAACATGACTTTATCGCTGGCTTGTTTGACATTTCGCTGTCTCAAGTCAAACATGTGCGAATTTCCTTACAACGCTTGCTTGATCATTCCTTCATCTCTGATTCTGCGAGAGTCAGTTTAGCGAGGGTGGCGCCTCTGACGCAGCCCGAAGATCCTTATCATCCAGCTTTCGATGTGACTCTTAATATTGGGTGTGACGTACAGAATATTTCTGACCGTCCAGCCAATAAAGTCCTATGTTTTCGCAAAACGAACTTTGAACGGCTGAATAATGTTATAAACGAGTTCAATTGGTCCGATCTATACATGTGCACTGACATGGCAGTTGCCGTGGATATTTGTTACAGTGCCATGAATTCATTTTTTACTGAATGTGTTCCGTTATATTATCCGCCAAGCTCGAATAAACCGCCGTGGTCTACTAAAGAGTTGAGGCGACTAAAATTTAAAAATCTAAATGCTACATTTAAAATCACCGGTTCTCAATCTGCCCTTTCATCTTATTTATCAGCTCGGTCAAACTTTACCGTGCTGAACGCGCAGTGTTATAAAAACTATTTAACTCGTTGTAGGGCCCAGTTCTCACAGGACCCAAAACAGTTTTATAATTTCGTTAACACTAAACGTAAGCCTAAAACAAATCCTTCCTCGCTTTCATTTCAAAATACTACTGCAAATAATGATCAGGCAATAGCCGATCTATTTTCGCAGTTTTTTCAAACAACCTATTTTAGCTCTTCGTATATATACCAGACCTATTCCTACGACATACCCAAATCAAACTTAATTTTCTGTCCTAGCCTAAACGAAAGCTCTCTCCTTTTAGATCTTCATCGCGTCAAGCCAGTTTATTCGCCAGGTCCCGACGGAATTCCTGGCTGTGTGCTCAGGTATTGTGCCGACGCCCTGTGCTATCCCCTTCTGAAATTGTTTACCTTGTCCTTGGAAACCTCCCACTTTCCCATTATTTGGAAGGAATCGTTTATTATTCCTCTCCACAAAAAAGGTAGCAAATTGGATGCCAGCAATTATAGAGGAATCTCTAAGTTGTCGGCAATCCCTAAATTATTTGAAAACATTATCACCCCTCACTTACAGCACCTTTGTAGATCGGTTATTTCTCCATGTCAACATGGTTTTATGAAGCGAAGATCAACAACAACAAATCTTTTGGAGCTCTCTTCCTTTATTATAAAGGGCTTCCACAATAATTGTCAGACAGATGTAATCTATACTGATTTCCGTAAAGCATTTGACTCTGTTAACCATTCTCTCCTCGTTAGAAAACTTGATTCAATGGGTTTTCCAAGTGATCTTCTTAATTGGATCTCAATTTATTTGAATGGCAGGACGCAAAAGGTCCTCTTTAAGAATAATTTATCCAATGTTCTAAGGGTTACATCTGGCGTCCCGCAAGGAAGCCATTTGGGACCCTTATTGTTTACATTATTTATAAATGACCTGCCCAAATTCTTGACTAACTCCAGAGTGCTTATGTACGCGGATGACGTTAAGCTTTGTGTGCAATACATTGACGTTGCCTGCCAGTCGGACTTACAAACAGATCTTAATAATTTTCAAACTTGGTGCCGTGTAAACTTATTAAACTTAAATGACTCGAAATGCAAGCTAATGACATTCTCTTGTGTCGTTCCTAAGCTTGCTACTTACACGCTGAACTGCTGCTCTTTGGAAAGAATTAATTCCGTTGACGATTTGGGCGTCCGCTTGGACCCAAAACTTGACTTTATTGATCATATTTCGTCTATGGTGAATAGAGCCAGGGGTGTGCTTGGATTTATTAAACGGTGGTCGAAGGAATTCAATGACCCCTATGTTAATAAATCCTTTTATACTTCCTTAGTTCGTCCTATCCTAGAATATATATAATATATATATAAATATATAATAAATATA